GGTCCACTCACAGCAGTTCTTTCATCACTATTAAAGTGGTGTCTTTGGTGTGAGTTTTTGTCTACATCCTGAGGGCATATTTGCTTATAATGCAGGGCTTTATGTTATTTAGAATTTATAAAATAGTTATTACTCAATGACTCAAGATTATTCAATTTTTTCACCGAGATTAACTAACTGCAGAGTCATAGATTTTATAGCACTTAAAATTGTAGTGTGGCCTTCAGCTTAGTTTTATGAAAGGCGACAAAAACCCAGCATATTCATTTCTAAAATCCTCCCCAAAAATGGCTTCCATTTAAAAACCGCTTTGGGTTAAGTCGAAACAGAGTCAAACTAAATGGACTCAAGTTGACTGATTTTGATGAACAAAAAAAGCAACAAACTACGCTCTCTGACAGCAGATTTCAGAAGTGTTTACTGAGCCCGTTTGGTGATTTGACTACAGAATCGCATCCACTTTTCATGCGGTGCAGCCTGAGGGCCAGTATTGGTTGCCAGCTTTGCTCTGGAGCCCGTCCACCATCCCCTTCACCAGGGATGTGCAGACGCTCTACGCCTTCCTGGAGAGGTGCTCGGCGGCGGCCGTGGAGGGGCTGGAGGCGAGAGAGGGCCCCGAGCCGTACAGCTCCCTCTGCACCGCCACGCTGGCGCAGGCTTACGTTTTGAGCAAAGGTTCTCCAGAGGTTTCCAAGATGACCCTGAAGTGCTTCCAGGAGAGGGGCGACTCCACCCAGGTGCTGTCCAGGCACTTCATCCGGATCAACACGGAGGGCCAGCAGAGCGTCCTGCTGACCTCGCAGCTGGTCGCCGCGCTGACGCTGCTCATCGGGAAGAGAGCGGCGTGCGGCGTGCAGGAGGGAAACCCCTTCCTGTTCGCCAAGCCCTCCCCACCCAGCCACTTCCTGGGAGAGGACTGCGTCCGCTCTTACTCCAGGAGCTGCCAGGCCGGCGACCCGGAGCGCCTCACGTCGGCTCGCTTCCACAAACACGCAGCCAGGATGTTCCAGATCCTCGACCTGGAGGACGACGAGCTCGGTCAGCTCGCCAAGCTGCTGGGCCGCGACGCCCGGGCCGATCGGGAATACTACCAGTCCCCCGAGGCCGCCGCCGAGCTCGCCAAAATCTCAAAGCTTCTTCTGGCGATGGAGAAAGGTTCCCTGGAAAGATTGGAAGGAAACTCCCTGGAGGAGCTAGAGCTCGAGGGTAAGAGTCCTCCTCAGGGCACAGCAGTTTATTTGTTTATGAAAATCAATAAATATATATTTTATTTTTTTTTCAAGATAAACTGGAGCCTGATGCTGAGCAGAACAGCTCCGGAAATGCTGAGGAGGAAAGTGAGGATTCAGATATTTTATCTCAAATGAGCGGTATGTTTGTCAGACAAGGCGGTAGACTTTGAGGATTATGTGTAAATATTGAATCGTGCCTGTTGTGATTTTTCTGGCTTTTGAACTCTTTGCAGAAGAAGAAGAACCCCTGGACGGGCCGCTGACTCCGGTGCAGGATGCACTGGAGCACATTAAGGCACAAAGAGACAAAGGGTTCCACCAGGAGAAGTTTATCGACTCCTTCAAAGGTTTGTGGAATCTTTCGGTAGATTATGGAGCCGTTACAGGATCGTAATGTTTGTTCATTTGAATTTGGACAGTCGGATGTGGCGGATAAAAAAGTTGATTTATTTTTAATTTTGTTAATTTGTTTAATACATCTTTTTTTATATAAATTTTATTGTTTAAAAAGATTTTTGGTGGACAGGAATGAGGAACCAGGCCAGAGGTACCTGCTGAGAGAGAGAAAAAAAGTAAATGACAACTAATGACAACAATGCCCAAACAACCCAGACTGGTTCCTCAGAGGGGGGGGGCTGATACCTGAAAGCTGCTGCTGGTTCTCAGCAGATTTTGGATCAGCCGGCAGCTTTTTTAGAGGGTTTTTGGGGTCAGAACAATATTAAAGAACTCCAGCCGTCGAATCCTGAAGGAACAAACGATGGAGCAGTTTTTTCTGAGATGACCCCCAATGTTTTTTTTTTCTCCAGGAAGAGGAGTGTTCACCAACGAGTCCATCGAACCTCCCAGCTTTGTTGTCGAGTACCGGGGAGAGATCTCTCGACATGAAGACACCCAAAGGAAGAGAGACACTCTGAATGGTTTTGTGTTTGACCTCTCGTTGAGTCGGACAAACTGGAGGTGAGTTTCAAAAGATAAACCATCCACAAACCAGCCTAGGGGCAACAGTTTGAATGAGCCGCTTCGACTCTCCTCCACCGTCGTCTGTTTTCGTTTCTCTTTCTCTGGTAGCGTCGATGCTTCGGCAGAAGACGGGAGCCTCGGGAGGCTTGTGAACGACGACCACCTGAACCCCAACTGCATATGGTTCTGAAAAGCTCATGGACACTTTTAAAAAATGTTTTCCTACTTAGTCACCACAATGAACTCAACTTTTGTCAACCTCTAATTTACACAGACTTTCTCTTTGTGTAATAAATATGATGCGTCAGCTACATTTACATTTACACGTTAAAGGGAACCACGGGTCCAGTCTGACATTTGTTTGTTGTTTTTATTTGTTTTTATTTTTTACACAATTGGGTCTTAAGACACAAAAGGCAATATCTAAAAACAAAGTTATGTTTTTGAACCTGCACATTGAAAAATGCAATCTCCAATGAATGAAATAATGAGGGCAAAATATTTCTGAGATGATCCAATAACCATGGCTTGGGTAAACCCTTCCAGGAAATGGTTTTAGACTATTCCAAGAATTACAAGGGAAAGTCCATTCTTCAAAGTGTCAGCAGTGTTCATGTAGTGAGAAGAGACATCACGTCCAACTCTGAAATAAGTGAGCTGCTGTCTGTTCAGTACTGTCTCCAGTTGCTTTTTCCTTCTTTGTGTTCGTTTGAGGTCGCCATGAGGACGATCATAACTATTTATGATTGATTGTGTGCTTCTTGGTGGAACGTTGAATGCCATCAGTGCTGTACCACATAGCCTTTGCGTTTCTTCAGCCTCTTGTTCTCCAGCTTCTTTTATGGTTCGGATCACTTTCCAGGGACTGCTGGAACAGGCGCCTGCCGATGGGCTGTTTTGACACACATGCTGTCAAAGGTTGTGTCTACACATGCCTTCGTGTGCTCGCAGTGTCTGATGTGTGGGAGCTTCAGCCTGGCACGCATCTTCTTGTCACGCATAACGGCCGCTGCGCACCCATCCATGCTTCCACGTGCCGAGTTAGGCAGAGTTTGCCACCACGGCCTCCAAACCACCTATATCCTTGGCTGCACTGTGGTCAGGCACAAAAAAAAAGAAGAAAACAGGTACAAAAAGAAGAGTGCTGACAATGTCTCTATTTGATCACATTTATTCAATATAACCATCAACTGTGCAAACTTTTTTTTAAATCTCTTTTTTATGCCCCTTTTTTTTTACCCCTTCAATTCTGGTTGCAAATCCCAGTAACATGACTTTTGAGTATAGTGCTTTATCAACAGTCAGTCATCCATTAAAACAGTCTGCAATGTTCATAGGTATTTATCAGCTCTGGCTTAACAGTATACAGTACGCCATATATCCTTCAAATGAACGTGGAGCCTATCCCATCTGACAACAGGGGAGAAGCAGGGTACACCCTGGGACCGGTCGCCAGCCCCTTACAGGGCTACACAGAGACACACAACCACACCCGCTCACATTCACTCCGACTGGGCAATTTGTAAATAAATTCACCCAATTCACCCAACATGCATGTTGTTGGACAGTGGGAGATTAACACCCAAATCGAAGCAAATGTGTGTTTAAACAAGTTATAACAACTTCTTTCAGACTCATCGGAAAATCACCCTTATGTTAAATTAAATCTGTGGTTACCTGGAGGTGATTAACCCTCTAGAGTATAATTACGGGATCATTACATAAGTTATTTAATTTCTTTTTCAATATAAAATGATCATCTGCTTTGGCTTTTGAAGACTCAGCTGTTGGCGAGCTGCTCTCAGTAAAACTGTAGAATCTTTTTCTTTGCCCCATTGCAGCATTTATGTCTATCGTGACGAAAACTACCAGAACTTAGTTTGTGCTGCCCAGCAAAAAAGAAGACAAGGTAGCTCACAGAGTTTTATGCAATTCAGTTCAATTTATTGGGTACAAAAAAAGTACAAAATAAAGAATAGAAAGTTGTACTTAAGAAAATGGTATCAATACAATAAAAGAAAAGGCAACAGTTAAATAACTAAAAACGGGACCCAACTGATCTGAAAAAAACAAAACAAAACAAAAAACACCTTGTGGCGTGAACATTTTTATCTACACAAACAGGAAAAGGCAGAGACACCTGGGAAGTGCAGGGATGCAATACTGAACCTACAAATGCACAGTAAATCGAATTCAGTGTGCCACAATACAAAAGCCTCACAACAAGAAATATTGAAGCTGACGCATTTTGACTGAAGGTTGAAGTTCAATTATCTTCCTTCCCACTGTGTATTTCTTCACCTTTTGACAAATGAAACCAGCATGTCTTACTCTGGTTATTATCTACATCATCACCCTGAGGCTGAATCCCAAAAGCATCCCCCATTTCTAGAGTTTCAGGGCTTCATAACGACCACTGAAAGCTACGAAAACCACATACACTCATCAAGAAAAACATTAGTACACTCTTGTGCTCTATCGAGCTCGACGTCATCCTGACTAGATAAAACACATGTAATTCAGCACAACGGCAAGCTAAAGGGAAAGCACTTGACAGGAAAGAACACGTGCTGTACGTCTGCTAATCTTTGTCATCTGTAGTGGATTTCTCCCTGGCCGGAGCCATCTCTGTGAGCCCACAGTGACCGGTGGGCAGCAGGAGGCCAGTGTTGGCGTCAAGTTTTTGTTTTGTTTTTTGGGTTGGTTTGGTACATTCAGACTTGTAATCTGGCCCCGTCCTACTGGAGGCTTCTGCTTTCGTTTCGAGGGAGATGCGAAGAGGAGGGCTCAGAGCTGGTGACGGGCTCAGTGCCTGCGCGTGCGCTGAGCGCCGGCGGTGGTCACGTAGACGAGGGGCTGCCGCAGCTGAGGGCCTCTCTTCAGGTTAGTTACGCTGGCTGTGGAGGAGTCGGCATTGGAACCTAAGAAAAGAAAAAATGAGGCACATTTCAAACAGGGATTAGAGTTGCTGTCTGCTAACAATTAAAGCACATGTATTTAGGGGTGAGTCCCTGGGGGGGAGGCTCACAATAAAGTAACAGCTCTGTAATTACATTCATATATACAAATATATATATATATATATACAGTGCAGTTCTCGCTCCCATGAGTGAGGAATGCCCTTACCCCTCCAGAGGCGGCAACGATGGTCTACCTGTTTGGTGGATGTGGTGGAGGGGTCTGACTTTGGTGAGAAGAGGGACTGCTCTGCACTGAGGACGATGCGTGGGGGCCTGGGGTTGACCGTTGATGTGCAGATGAGGGTCTGATGTACTGTCCAGAGGGCGGAACCTCTGAGCTGTGGTTGTCTTTGTTTGAGCCACCTACGAGTCCAAGTAGACAGAAATGAGCCACTTCTCGGGGACAGGCTGACCCCCTCTTCTTTTGAGAGGACATATGATCAACATGTTCTTATTCAGAGTCGTTTTCAGGTAACACACATGCATTAAATGCTCAACATAATCTGAATTCAAAAGAAAAATACTGACTGCTTGACCAGTGACCTCAAAGGAACGCGAGCGTCTCTTCTTGCGGCGAGCTTCGAAGTCGGCCTCACGAGGTGTTTGGTTTTTGTTTGTAACCTGGCGGTGGCGAGGGCGTGTCCAGGTCACCTGCAGGCCGGGCCCATCCCCGGTGCTGCTGGACAGGTTGTCGTCGGAGGTGGCGTGCCTCAGCTCAGGGCTGGCCTGTCTGCCTCTCCGCATTGGTAAACCTCTCGGGGGAGCCTCGCCTAAAGAGAGGCTGCTTTTCTGCTTCTTGGGGTCAAGCGGAGAGGGGGCGAGCGGTAGCCGCAGGACGTCCACCTCCACGGCTTTGGAGCGCCGGCGGGCTGCTTTGACCACGATGTTCTGGACCCCCCTCAGGATCTGTTGCCGCTCTGTTATATTGGAAGATGGGGGTTCTTTTACTTAAGCCGCATATATCCACATATATTAGAAAAAATCCCCATAAATCAGAAAAAAACTGGTTGACAGTAAATGAATAGGCCTGATTTATAACAAGCAAACAGCATCAGAATTTAGTGAGGCACCAAAGAGAAAAGTTTGTCCCTGAAAGGTACAAATGTATCTCCTTTGTCTCGTGACTTAGCCTCAGTCTAAATTGCAATCTCATGCATGCTCACATCACAGCCTTCATGAGCCAGCAGCGAGTGATGCACTCGTAGGACCATCTCTCTTACCTTTTTGTGAGAGGGGAACATCAGTCCCAGCCTCGCTGCTCTCAGGTGATGAGTCCAGGTGGCTGCTGACACTGTGGCTGAGGTGGCTGTAGCTCATAAAGCTGTTGGGACCCAGAGGCTGCAGCTGCACGCAGGAGATGTCGTTATTAATCATGACTGCAACGATTTGCTTCCTGTAAGTCAGTTCAGCTTATCCAGTTCTGAATCTCTCACACTGCCCATGAGTCACAGCTCAGGGTTCTTTCACAAAACCAGACATAGATGAAGTCTGAATCTGAAATGTAAATCTACCAGTTTTATAATGGCAAACGGAGCCAAAGACCCACATGTATTAAGTCAATGCACGTTTATCGCAGCAGGTGTAGGTTTTCTTTTGGTCAATCAGGTGAGTGGGTTGAAAATGTTCTTGCAGCGAAAGATCTGTGTGAGCTAAATTAAAACAGAACGCCACTGGGTTTGAAGTGAATAGCAATGTGGGATCAGACTGTATTAATTCATGGCCCAAGGGACTTCTCAGGGATGCGTACCGAGCTGAATGAACCAGGGTCATTAGCACATGGTAAATCATCCTTACCTCTCTGTTTCCCTTTCCATTAATGTGGATCGGAGGAGGGGTCATTACAGCGGATTTCTTGATGTGCCTGGCATGGGGGCTGCTCTTGAAAACTCTGTCTCTGACGCAGGGAAACGAGCAGAAATAGAGGATAAGAGTCAGATTTATAAGTACAGAAGGTAAGTGAGAAATGAGGCAAAGCAAGTCCTCTTACGGCTCAGGATCAGGAAGAATGGGAGGCAAGGTGTGCCTACGCATTTTGGTTTGGCCTCTTCTGTTGTTGGAGAACATGTTGCGCACGCTCTCCTGGTCTGAATCTGCGTCGTGCATGTTGTCACGAACTCGAGCAGGCAGTGTGATTTTGGGTAGAGAGCCCTCCTGAAGGTGAGAATGTGTTAGTATTCATCCTGTTCCTCTTATCTGTATTTAAGCGGCGCCATTAATGGATTTGTCTTGCTCCCATCACCTTGACGGTGTGTCTGGTGGTCACCTTATCCAGGGCCATAGCTCTGTCTAATTTCCTCTCATCCAGCTCCCTCATATAAATGTCATACAGCTCCTGGAGGTGCTGAGGCACAGGCAGACTGTGGTCTGGAAGAAACAGACACACAGGATTTGAACTGTCATCTATTTTATTCACATCATCAAGACATGAACTCCAACTAATGAAAGGCTTTGTTATCTAATCCAAGTGTTTAATTATGTCCCAAAAAAGTACATAAAAAGTTTTTATGATTGTCAAACTGATTAATTTTCTCTTTTTTCCCCCTCAGGAGTCACTTTGGATAAAAACTAAATGCAGAATTATAAAATGAAATATTATTGGAGCCACAAGGACAAAAACAACAACAGTTTTCTTTAACTATGGTAAATTCTGGAAAGAAAAAACTGGCAAACGTACCATCAATGAACTGTCTCTGCTGCTGAATGATTTCATCACAAAGGTGTCTGTGCTGCTCAAAGCGCTGCACCACAAAGTTTTTCTGCCTGATGACGTTGTCCTTGAGCAGTGCGTGGGACTGCATCTCGGCGTTCTCTATCTCCAGCTCGTGGACTTTGCAGAGGAGGCCCAGGACTTCGCGTTGCTCTTCTGACGAAATCCTGCGAGGAAGCAGCTCCTCCAGGCGTCGGGCTCTATCCCGGAGCTCCAGAAACCTGCGCTCGAGCAGCCCCTTCAGGGAGAAAGATGATGACTTTATCAGTTCAGGTTTCTACAAACGGCACAGAACTACGTAAAGGAAGGCTATTTTGTGACTCATGAAGCTGACGGACAATTCCACCTTCTGTTTTTGAATCTTTTTCTGTTCCTCCATCAGAGTGACCAGGTTTTCTCGAGCCACCAACACCTCTTTGGTCTCTGTGTTGTCAGGTGGAGACTCTGAGGAATCTGAGTCCTTCTCACTTTCCTCCTTATTGGCACTTTCCTTCCTCCTTTCTGAGCGCCACTTCCTCCTGCGCCTACTCCGCTCCTGCTCCCAGCTAAAATAAACAAACAAACAAACAAACTTCCTGTCAGAGAATCTGAGTAGTTATGAGATGAGAGACTGAATTTAATTTCTCCAATGGTCACTGGTTTTGATTGCCACTGGTCAATAAACTTCATAATTAGTTCTGTTGTATATTAAGTATAGCACAGAATATGATTGCTATGGTTGCCTGCTTTGCAATACACCAGTTACACTAATTTAAATTTGATTGATTGTTAAACCAAACCAGAGGAGGCATAAAGGTTCAAACACATCTGGGGGCAGAATAAGCCCTTACCGGAAATCAATTTTCAACCTATTTTATTTGCAACCTGGTAGCTGAGCTGAGGATTATTGGCTCTGGCTGTGTTCTGTGAGGAGGAATGTGACATTCATTGTAAAGACTGACTCTGCAACGGTTAGAAGGTGTTTGGAGGTGTCAATCTGGATCTCCATGTTGTTGTTCTCCAGCTCCATCAGGCTTCTCCTGATCTCCATCTGCTGGCGGAAGGCATCAAGGAGCTGCTCCTTCAGCTGGTCCATCTCTGCCCGGCTCTGCTGGGTGGAGTGGGCCTGGACCTCTGCTGCACGAGGGGGAACAAAGAACGGAGGACATCAGAAAGTGAAATTGAACCAGATGCAAAGCTTGAAATGGCAGATATCCCTCGCGGGGCTTCTGGTGTCAGGAAAATATACCCTGAACGTTGCGGATGTCAGCTCGGTCAGCGGTGGGCTGGTGGCTCGCCTGATCTTCGATCATCTTTTTGAGCCGCTGGATCTCGCATCGAAGATCTGAGATGATGTTGGTGTACTGAGCAATGTGGTATGACACATTTATCAGGTTCTTCTTCACCTGAAGCCGACAGAGAAAAGGGCACTTCTAAGGTCAAACGGAACTGGAGCTTTTTACAGTGAAAAACTAACCGCAGCAATGTGAAATTTGGTCTTGCGATGATCGTATCAACAATGTCAATCACTGGGAAAATACAGTATGTGTTCAGGAAAAACACCCATATTCTGAACTTACCCGCGTTCGAATGTTTTTGGCACGGTCAGCGTATGTGAGTGTGTTACGAGACTCCTCAAAAGCCAGAGAGGCGGGGCTAATATGGGCAATCATGACCGTCCTGCTGTTCCCCCCTAAGGAGTCCTATCATTCAAAGACAGGATGATGAGTATAAGAAGCAGGAAATACAATTAAAGTTGATCTGAAAATAAAAGGCGTGTTTTCCTTAGAACTGCTGTACCTTCAGGAGACGGGTCAGTTTGCTGTCTCTGTAGTTGACGTACTTGTTGCAGTTTTTGTCGCTCAGGGCGTTAATGCAGTTGCCCAAAGCCAGAAGTGAGCGGTTGATGTGGGCTCCCTCTTTCAACCGCTGACCTCTATTTTGAGTCTGTAGGATACAGAGAAAGATGAGTGTGAAAACCCTTTGAACTCAAACTAGTTTTTAATTCTTTGTGGCTGAAGACGTGGTTGGTGCCTGGAAAACAAGATTTTTCAGAGAGAGATTATTTCTTCTCTGTGACCCTTCTCGAAGTTCCAGCTGTAAAACAAGCAGTCGGCTGATCTCTGATTTACTGACATATTCAAACAATTTCCTCTCTTCATTTGTAGATAAAATCAAACTCTTCGGAGAGTGAAAAAATTCTTCCTATGGCCTTCTGTGACAAACAGTTCTCCATTCATCTCCGTTCTTAATAGAAATCATATGTGCCCTCTATCATCAGTGTGGCTGTGACTCATTCAACGAGCCTCCATGGTGAGGAAGTGCTCTCGCTGTTTATTGATGACATGGAGCCTTTTGGTAATGAGCAATAATGAGTCATTCAACATATAACAGAAGAAACTTCAGCTACAGCACGGCTACTAAACAAACTACATAAATACATAGCAGATTCTTCATTTGACTCCAAAAAAGAGTCAAATCCACTATCAAAATCAGGATTTGAACTGTTCATTCTTCTGTTATCCGACTGTGTTTCAAACATGATAATGACAACATTTTTTTCAGAGGAACTAATTGTTTCATGATGTTTTTATTTTTTAGGCCCATCAGCTTTGCAGTATCATTAAAAAGATGTGCGCTTAAATGCTTTTAAAAAGCTGTAATAATGAGCAATATCAAATAGAAGTAACTACTGGGTATCACCATTCACACTTTATACAATGCAACAGATTTCATAAAAATATCTGCTGTCCAAAGATTTTGACGAGCAAATAGTTCTGTTAATGTCTCTGTTCCATAACTTTGAGTGAAAACAAATGCATGAGCACACAAAGGAAGACCAAAAGCTTTCCACCAGTATTATCAAGGCTGAAGTTGTGATTTATCTCCACGCATTTGCAAAAGACAGTGCAGTGGCTCAAGGTGGATCACATAAAAAGGCTTTGATCAATCTGGAATGTATCAGCATCTCAGTTCTCTCAGCGAGGATTCATGGAGAAGCATCCTCAGAGAGCTCTGATTGACAAATGAAGCTAACCCTGGTAGTATCGAGGCTCCACATGAATAATGTACTTCACACCAGAATGCTGAGAGTCCATCAAAGGAGTTAAGTCTGGAAAATCTTTCATCTGCAGAAATGAACCACAATTCAACCAGCGAGTACATATTCACACACCTGTGCTGCTCGTTCTGAGCCGGCGAGGTCGATCATGAAGAGGCGTGCAAAGCGGACCTCCTGCAGGACGTCGCGGCAGCGGCTCTGCTGTTTGACGGCCACCTGCAGAACAGCGTGGGACCGTGACGAGGTCTGATTTGCTGCCGTTGGCTCCTGTGTGCGCTGTTTGTTGCCCTTCATCAGCAACTCCATAATCTGAAAACATAGGAGCAGTTCTTTGTGGCTTTTGTCCTCAACGTTTTGAGTAAAACAAACAAATGGGTGGTGGTGTTTATCCCTCACTTCTTGGGCGTTAATGGTAGACACCTCCGTGATGCCTGCAACCTGAATCACTCCCTTGGAATCTTCCCTTAGGTCTAAGAAGCCTGAGGATGGATTCAGCAGGTCTCGGATCATCTCATTGTAAATCTGCAAAGACAGATGGAAAATGGTTCATTCAGTCATGGACAAACATTACCCTGAAGGACGTGTTTGTCCAGTTACAAGGCTCTATTCAGGACTCAAACCTAGCATGAAAACATGAACGGCTATAATCTGCTGCTTATTAAGAAATTTAAGGTTGTTGGGTGGCCAGCTGTCAGTGGGAATGATGATTTAAGAAAGCAAAGTGCTCAAAAATACATCCTGGAACGTTACCACTGGATGACAATCTGCCAGAAATCTGAAAATGTAAGCATCCTTTTTATTTGTCAGGTTCAACCCAGCCACTAATACTAAGAATAGTGTTACTTAGCCTGACAGCTGGACATTTTCCCTGTTATTTTTTCCACCTCCAGTCTCTCATAGGTGGTGGTCTAAAAAAGGCTGTGTGCTGCCACTCTGTGCTTAGTACAGGAGACCCTTATTTCGACCTTTTATTTTCACACATTTAAAGATGGTGACCACGAAAGAGAACCAGCTAAGACATCACCAAAGTTTTGCGGAGTCAACCCATGAGAATCATTCATATCAGAGCAACATTTCACGGGATCAAGTTAATTGAGATGTGGATCGTAGGTCTCAAATTTGTTATCCTGTGAGCTGACAAAGCTTACAAATCCAGGCTAAAAATAAACAAAAAGAGAAGCCCGTTGCAGAATCAGCTAGGTTTTTTTTGTCCACACAAGGTGGTACCGATGCGTTTCAGTGCACATGTTGTAGTGATGGCACACGTGAAAGTGAGTGAGATCTGAGGAAGAAAAGGAACAGATGTGTGCACTTTACTCTATCAGGCTATAAAACCGCATACTCTTTGTGGCGAGGCAGAGGTGGTAACAGATTGCTCCCTGGAAACGGCAAACACGCACGTCACTCCCACCCACTAGTGTAAGGATTCATCCTGATGAGATCAATACAGGTCAGAGAGCAACCAGATTCCACGCCCAGTGCTTTTGATAGAGAAACATTTCATTTTCATCCACCAAGAGTGGAAATTGTAATCTATTGCGCTGCACCTTGTCACTCAGAGTACATGATGACAGCGTCTGGCGGTGCAAACAAAAAGTGTCATTTTGATGACAGATGGAAACCCTCCTCCCTAAAGGAGAGGGGAAATTTGTGTCCAACAAGTGCTTATTTGAAACATTTTAGTTCTACGTTGACGGTTGAATGTTCTTTTCATGTTTGCTCTTTCTAAACAAGAGCCTATTCATCATCTGATTATTATTTATTTTTTTTAACTTTCCTTTCTCTATAATTTTCTCCCATTATTTTCTGACAGCCTAAAAAAATTCAATTTCTCCACCCCACCTATTTGCTATGCAGCGTACGCTCTAGACAGGGCGCTGGTCCCTCACAGGGCATGCGCCACCAACAAAACTAATATACATGTTTTTGGATGGTTGGAGGGGGCTGGAATACCTGGAGAGAGCCCAGGCATACAGGGGAAGAAAAAATGTATTAATCATCAAAGCATTTTTGTGGTAGAAATAAGATTAATCATCTAAAAGATTATCAACTCCAAGATCTGACCATTTTTTTCATTATTTTAGGGAAAAGCTACAAAGCAACCTTACAAAAGCCACACCACTGAAGCTGAGTCAAATAAACCAACTTCAGCGTTGTTAAGGCAACTAAACTTAGAGGCTGAGGTATACCTATTTGTCAGTAATGAGGTGTGGAACCGGGGCAAGCAGGCACACAGAGAAACCGACATTTTGAGCCTGCCATTTCATCTGTGGCTCATCATCCATCGACAAAGGAAGAGATAATCACCGAGCCAACAGGACTAGAGCTCGCAGCACATCTAAGTGAACAGGTTTTAGTGTCACAAAAGAACAAATAAGTCCATTTTAGAATGTCTTACTCACTCTGGTCTTTAACAAAGTTTCTTCTACTTTGAGTGCAAAGTACTGCTGTGTAGATGAAGATGATTAAACATAGGTTACAAATAATACATCGGGTCCTTTGTGGATGAACAAACGGACAAGAGGAGTAAAATTGAGTGATGTTTCACTACTAATACTAATACTTCTCCAGAAGGCTGTAACTGCCGTACAGCATCAGATAGTTGTGTTTCTTATATCAAAAATTCAGTGGTCGGTGTGGGTTAAAAAAAAAGGTCTACCATTACAATGCAGTACAATGTTGAAACGGTGAGAATAACAGAGGGTAAAAAAGTAGAAGACTTTACCTGAAAGAAATTACATTTGCCTGAGCACCCTTTCAGATTTTTTCTATTCATTCATTATCTCCAAACGTTACATTTAATAAATAGACACGTCTGCACCATTGAGTCAAAAGCAGGCACGCAGGAAAGTCTCAAGGTTGACAGAGTGTCTACTGCCAATGGCAGGTCTTGGTTGGGACTTCCTCTGGGCTAGCAGCCAAAGCCACAGGCCCAGTTAATACCTTTGGGCCAGACAGGGCTACTCTGGTGTGAGGTGGCATAATAGACCAGGCTAATCTGTGGGTTGAGATAGGAGAATGCCTAAGAACAGCAGTCAACGTGAACAACGCAGAGATATGAAGCGATCAAATAAATACAGAGATGTTTCATTTAGAGAGCGTGACTGATGCTGTATTGAGGAGAAGGTTTTTCTGTCAGCTAATGGTGAGATTACAAGTCTGTTGCCAAGTTTTTAGAAGACCTACCTCAAGATAGGACATGGAGACGCTGTACAGCATGTCATCGCTGGTCTCCTCGATGGCACGGAACAGATCGTTCAGAGTGCGGACATAGATCCCTGGCTCCTTGTCTGTGCCCAACATGGTATAGGTCTTCCCACAACCTAATAAAGAATTACATTTACTTTACTTAAATTTCCGGTGCCAGATGATGATGTTAAAAACTGTTCAGCACTCATTTACTTTATAGTGCACATTGCCATTTTATTATACACATACAAACAAAATACATAATTTAATTATATCTTTGAATAATAATAATAATATCACATATCATTGGCAAAAATAGAGATGCTGAAGCTCAAGTTTTTACAATATTTCACTTTAGGTTTCAGCATTTTCCACTAAATGTTGAGGATTTCGCCTCTTTAGTTGGGTAGACTGTATCTCAGCCTCTTCACGGCAGAGTGCTGACTGCCAAGTGAGTGAGGGGCAGACACACGCACACACACCTGTGGGTCCATAGGCAAACACAGTGGCATTGTAGCCTGATATGAGGCCTTCAATAAGCTCTTTGGTTGTAGATCGATACACCTCTTCCTGCACAGGAGGAAGAAGACCGTATTTAACAAACAAAGAAAGATAAAAGCGACACTGGCTTCAGTTTCAGTCTGCTTCTGATTTATTTAAAATTCTAGTCCTGACTCACCTGACTGGCTGAGAAGTCGAATGCCACGTCAAACATGTAGGTTTTCTCTCTGGAGCGGTTGGCACGCAGGATGTCATCCGGATCTTCCATGGGGTCCATCAGAACCACCATCTAATGATCCAGAGAAGCGCAAGAGAGAAACACAGGGTGGAGAGGTGGTTAGTGGCCACGCTGAAGTTGACATCTGAGTGGCCAATTACCTTGATGTGTCTCTTTGTCCATCACTGCGGAATTCTGTGCTAATGAGCAAATGTGATCTCAGTGAGGCTTGAAAGAGTGACAAACATAAATGACCAAAAGGACAGCTGATATGTCACTGAAACACAAAATACTGTTTCAGCTAAATTCTACAGAGAAATAGTGACCGTTCTGTTCTGCACCGTGTGCCATTCGTGTGAAAATGTGGACCTAAATGATTATGCAGCTCGACAAAACCTGAATATAATCCAGAAACATCGGTAAATCGCAGCTTTCAAAAAGAATGTCTAGGGGGAAAACAGCCCAGCGTTAATATAGTGGCGCCCTGAAAAATGTGCGACACGGCAGAGAAAAATCGACAACAACAACAAACCATGGAGTTTTTTCCTCAGACTGGACCAGCGGGGATTTGCTGGTCGGCTCAGCACAGCGGCAGACCTTGAGGGTCCTCCGACACCCTGTTTGTTTGATGACGCCCTCAACCACTGAGCCGCTCACTTTGAAGCCTCTCAATTGAAATTCAAGAGGAGAGATTTCCCATCTAATAAACTGACAGCGGCACATGAAGGCGGGGAGAATGGCCAGCTTGCGCTGGCTTGTCTCAGTAAATCGGTGGACAGAAGAAATGAGGGTAAACTACTAAAGAAAAAGAGGAGCGACGGAGAAATGAGAGAGACGTAACACTTAATCATGGCACAAGAGACGCGGGTGTGGAAAAGAGGACAGTGCAAAGCAATTAATACTGATCTTATTCTGATCCTTTTTCCTTTTCCTCGTCCAAGGAGCTGCAATGACGTACAGGTTGTGATCAAATTCCAGAGAAAAGATACTGAGAACAAAGGAGAACTGCTTTTGATAACCAAGGTCAAAGACTCTGAAGCCTGTTAGCCAGTCTGATATCCTTTACCAACAACGTGAGTAGAATTAGAATGAGAAAACTTGATTGTCACTAAAATAGCCACTTCCTAAAGCAGAATAAAATCAGCTAGTGTGTTATAAGACAGGACGGACAGCAGAGGCATCAGGGCCATCTTATTAGACATTGTTGTCTAATATCTTTTTCCTGACAAAGTAAACTTTATTTGGGTTTCAACAGTAATCCAATTTGATTGACTAATGATCCAGCGAAACCTTCATTTATTCTAAGCAGCAGTAAAAGAAGCAGTTTGAAATACTGAAGCCACGTATCGGCTAAAGGACTTTCAGCTGTGTCTCCTCAGGTTGTTGTGCTTTCCTCTACAGAGAATGCTTAGTAAGACAGAGAGCTGTCGGAGTCTTTGAAGGACAAAACATTTTGTGGAGAAGTTTAACTTAGAAAAAAAACACACCTTTTCAAACTCTGGAGTCAACATCATCAGGAGCATGCTGCGCTTGTGTGATTATGATTGCGGTCTTTGAGAGAGTTAATGAGCGTTCAACAATGCCTTTATATAATCCCACCTGTAGTAGGTATCAGATGACGATGCACGGTTTTGTCTCAGTGCAACGCGCTTGGGAAAACCATGATGAGCAAAGGTGAAGATGACACCTCTGCTCCCATCTGTTGCCTGTATTTCTTGAGTTACAGTCCCTCACAGCTCCACCCATGAGCATCCACACCCTGTATAACAGGGATGCCGGCTCTAACTTCGTAGGACTGAGTCAAACGCCTGACTTTCATTGCTAATAATTGGTTATCCTGAGCCTTTCAGACTTTGTTAACACTTACAGATGCCCTTCAAACCAGACCGTTGTCTACCTTCAATTAAGAGGCTTCTGAGAATCAAATAGAGTGAGGTGAAGTGCCGGTCAGCATTAGCTGTTAAGTCCTGATGTCCATTCGGAGTACAGAACAGCCTAAGCAACACTTAAATCATGTACTCATACACACATGGCAACATGAAGCATGTACAGTGAGCAGGTATGTTAAAGTACTAAGGACATCATCTACATTTGTATATGGCCTTATTATGAATTAAATATGTGACGTAAGGCATAATGTTAAAGATACGACCCTCCAGTAACATTCTAGTGATGTATTCTTTGTGTGCTTTTAGTGTGAGAAGAGGAAAGGGTTGTAGTTTAGTAACCCTCTGACATTTTAGTTCAGATATCAACAGACTCAAGCTAACTTTCCAATGATGAGCTTTTGCTAAAATCCCAGCATTTCTCCAATCTAAATATCATCAAAAAAGTGTGAACAGACCTGAAACAGACATTTATTAACCTCATACGGACCAAGTTAGTGATTAATCCATTATCAAGTAGTTGTTAGTCACAGCACAATATCACCTTTGTATAACTGACGTAGAAAAAGTGCATCAACGCAAACAAATTTCTTCCACAGTCTGTCACACACTAATCCAGTCGTCCAGATCAGCTGTGCTACCTGTCGGCTAGCGGAATCATTCAGTTGAACAGGATGTTAATGAGTTAAATATCTATTTGTCATGTTTATCAGGATACATGTTCCAACCAATAATTACATTCTCCACCAAAACCTTAAGCAGACAGAAACAGTTTGAGGTGTTCACCTCAACAAATCTCTCAGCAGTGATTCACTTCACTGGTTCAGTTTGTGGATCATGATCTTGCAGTGATCCAGAAAGATCAGAGCTTTAGCTGGGTGACATCAAAGTGCACATTTCCACCGTAGCCTTTTCTGACTCCACCTGCTGTTTCAAGTGCCACCCATTTGTCGACTGATGAACTCGTGGCAGCCCCAGCAATTTTGACACAAGTGGGTGTACAGCACCACGGATCTGAGAGGTGCACAAAGTTTAAAGGAAAGCAATTTCCCACTTGTCAGCATCTGTGAATATGGTGTTATTTTTAGCATTTTTAAATGATGCTGCCCTCTGTCACGATGAACATCTATCTTGTGATGTTCATCTACTTTTTATTGGATGCAGGGTGTGACACCACTGAATGTGACCCTGCGGCTTCACAAAACAAAATTTACACACAGTGGCTCCGAAAAGAGGTTCTTTAAATATTCATATCCACGCAAGCAGCCAAAGTCAAGCAACAGCTTGCTTATGCAATGACATGAAACCAATTAGCGTGATGGAGGTTTCTAAAGACCATAAAAAACAGGTGGGTGCGATGGAGCACCACGGGCTGTGCTTTTTTTGGCTGATAAACAGCCCAACGGCACCCGCTCCTCGGATCATTAAAGCAGGAGGGATCACTTGGTTGGCCATCTTGCTGATTATAACACAGCTTGCTCCCGCCGCAGATCCATAATTCAAAGCCTGGATGTGGCATGGTTTCCCGAGTCAGCCAGCCCTGGGTGCTTCTGTCTGACTCTCTCCAGCGCTGTGCTTCACAGGTACCAAAAGTCAGTGACAGTAAAGGCACAGGTTCATTACAACATAGCTTATAGTGTATCCATAACAATCTAATGTCAATGATAGTTATGTGTGGGTTTCCATTTCCCAAAACCAGCCAGTAAACTGAGGAGAAACTGCTTTAGCTTGTAAACATAAAGAGACAAGAAAATTTTAACATTAGATGTAGCAGGAAGAATAGGACTGATGAACCCGAAAAGAAAAGAGATTAGAATAGAAACATTGGACAGCAGCATTTGAACAGATGGAGGATCATTTAAGACAAAAACATCCAGATGGGGTCTGAATCGGACTGATAAAGCTTTACCATCATGCCACCTGTACGGATGCAAGTTTTATTGTTTACATTTGTGTCTTGTCTTTATAGTTCTGATCCCTTCTTTTTAATTGAGCAAAAACGTTGACCCAGCATGTATCATAAAGATTAAGTGGACGGTTTTGTCCGTGTCACATTTTGGGGGTAAATGTCCATCTCTGCATCTAATTTCTGCCCTGAGGCACCAACATTCATTAAATCCTCCTCCCCATGTGACAGTGTGGTTACCATGGAAGCGTGTGTTTCCAATTCATGACGGTGTTATTTTAATTCAACTGAATATTTCAAATAAAATTTTGTCATAGATGGGCACGTAGCTCCAGGAAAGAGTCTGCCTGGGAAGGCATATCTCAACAAATACCGCTGCCTGTCAAACACAATTTGTCAGCACTCATCATCCAAAGTACTTAACATGAGCAGGAGAAAAATATATTTGGTTTGCATTCTCGGAGACATGAAGTCAGTCGTTGAACAGTTGGACTATCAGTCTCTAATGATGACATGCTATGAGTCATCAGCACAAACAGAAAGACCCTCCATCTGAGTCTGTATTTCCATTCATCTCTGGGAAGACATTAATTTCTAATGTAATAGCCAGCCTTAAAGTCTAGCTATCCTAACATGAGGGAAGTTTATAGAATGAGTGAATGTGCGCTCTACACATCCCCGTCACGTGTTACTTTCCATTATCTTCAGGCTGCACTCTGACATAACAGCAGCTGTTTCACAATTCTCTTTGTGTGTTGAGAAAACAGCAAAGAACAAAGGATCGAGATCATTAAAAAAAAAAAAAGAAAAGCAATCAGGTCCGAGCTGTGACCTTTGCGGGGCAACCTTTCAAACTGCCCTTTCAGAAATGCAACCAAAGCTCTGGAAAATCCAGCCTGCACAACTGTAGCTGGTTACCCGATAGAAACCCTCAGCACTGCCCTCTGCACCCCAACAATGCCACTCAATATCCTGTTTCAGGGTCTCTCCAGGTGTCTGTTTGACCACAGTGTACCTGATACAGCACGCCTGATTGCAAAGTCCGCTCCTCAGCTGAGGTTACATAAGATGTCTGGCTGTGACAAATGAATGCCAAACTGGTGCGCTCAGATGAGGGTCTTTGTAATCCCAACTCAGAAACTCCAAAATACACACAAAAGGACTCCCTACCTCTGGCACATGAGCAACAAGTGGTCTTGAAGTGCCAGATGACAGAAAAGAATTATCTCCCTCACTGTCCTTTGTTTCCTTCGGGTTGCTTATTTCCCCTGCGTTTAACA